TTAGAATGTCGTTGAGAAAGAAATTGTAAAGAAGGATCCATCTATTTCAGTGGATGAAGTTGAGCAAACGAATATTTCTTTAACTGAATCTAGCAAATATTATTACTGCACCTATAATGAGCAAACTATTAAGTATAACTCAAGAAAAGGTTAACACAAAAGTGAAGTAGCCTCCGAGAACGACGATTAAGTATTTCTTCTTCTTTGGTGCATGAATTACAACATCTTGTAAATGAACCTCGAAGAAGTGACATTGATGAGAAGTTAAACCTTCCTAAATCCTTTATTGATAGACTATGTTCCATGAGTCCTCCAACTCTTAAAACTTCTTCTGCAAATGATCCTTCTAAGAGATTTTCAGCTACAATAATAGAAGGGTACTTGGATATCCCGAAAGAAGTTAGAACTAAAACTTATTCACCTAAGTAAAAGTCAAGAAAAGCTGATTTGGCTATGAAATCTACTGAAGTCACTATTGAAGATGAGAAGATACCTCAATATTCTTAGAGCATAATCCAGAGGCAGACATTTTGGCTTCAATTACAAAAAAATAAAAATAAAAATAAAAATGAATGAGGAAATTTCTTCTTTGGATGCAAAAATTAAAGATTTGATGCTCGACATTCTACTTTAAAAACTTCTATTAATACCAACAAGGCAAGCATAAAGAGTCAACTTTTTAGATCAACATGCCGCTATTAATGTTCATGTTAATGGCAAAAAAAATCAGCTTAGTCTTTGATTAAAAAGCACCAAGAATTGACCAATTGTCCTACTGTAACATCAAATAAAGTTTCCAATGACTTGCATGAAGTTTATAAAAAGCACCAAGAATTGACCAATTGTCCTACTGTGACATCAAATAAAGTCTCCAATGACTTGCATGAAGAAGTTTTGAGGGTTAAAGACTGAGGTTGCAACCAAGAATTGGAGACTTGCTCTTGAAAATAAAATAAAAAATTAAAAAATAAAGCGTATTTTGTGAAGCCAGCCAAGGGATGGCCAATTAAGACTAAACCAAGTAAATTTATTACGAAAAAAGTTTTAAGTTTCCCTTTTGAGGTTGATTAAGAATAATGTTTAAAGATCTAAGAACAAGGGCTTGAATAAGCACTTTACAATGATGAAAAGGCTGCCAACAGAAGAATTGAGATAGAAAGAAAAGTGGAAGTTGTTGTCGGCGGCCCAATGTAAGAAGGAAAGCAAGCTGTAGAGCACCTTCAGACTTCTTTATTAATGAGAAGGTGAGATATGCCTTAAACAGGGCAAGGATTGCATAGATGCGCAAATTTACTTCCAACTTGATCCAATTGGGCCAATGACTGAACTGACATCAATTGCCCATGACCATGGTCCAATTAAATTTTTTAAATCAAGTCACAATAAACTTAACACAGTTTTTGTAAATAACCATCACTAGCAGCCATAAAAGCTCAAGCTGATAATTGGCAAAAATATTTTATGCTATAACAATAATTTACAAAAGTTTGCTTTACAAAGTTTAGAAAAAAATCTCCCAAATGATCCAACCTTCCTCAGTCGAGAATGAAAAAATTTCCAATTCTATTTACTGATGCTTCGACCATTATTTGCTCTAATTGAAATTTTAGTTCAATTAAAAGCTTCTCTTGCAATGGAAATTGCTCTAGTGAAAATACTCGATGAGCTTGGAAATACTTCAATTGAGAGCTGTCGCAACTTTGAAAATATAATTGTTGAGTTGGAAAATTCAAATAAGATTTTACGAGTCAAGAAGGAAAACAACAACGTGGAACCAACTGTTAAAATCTGGGAAAAATTCGAACAACTGGAAGTTTATGTTGAATGAATGTCCTTTAAATTTAGCGATGGTATCCAATTTCGTTTAGAAAAGCTAGAAGTATCATCTTCTAAAGCCAAATTTCATTAACGATGAGAACTTCTACAAGCATCTCATTGATACAAAATCTTCTTTTAACTATATCCCCTCATAAAATGACAAGTATAACTGCATAATCAATTCAGCCAATTGAAACTTTAGCCTTTTCATTCATCTATAATTCTTGTAATTAAAATCATTATAAAAAAGATGGTGTTAGAAGCATTTATGAACAAAATAGAATTATTTGAAATTTTTTGTATCTTCTTTTGCTTCTTCTAAATACTTGAAAGATTAATTAAATGTTTTACTAATAAGCCGAGTATTTGTCTGAAAGCTATTGAGCAATAAAAAATTAATACCAAGTGATCTGAAATATTACCTTTCAATATTAAAAATGGTTGGTTAACTAACACTCATACTGAGTACATAGATGCGTTTGGGGTAGCTTGTACGTTTCAGCATAAGCAGCTTATCCTGAGACACGACCCGTAGGTCGACTGCGGGGTTCGACCCGCGGCCCGCGTTTAGTGTAAAAATAGATCCGTGTTTTCGGATAAGCAGGCCAAACGCGCGATCTAAACGGTACAGGTACGTTTCAGCATAAGCAGCTTATCCTGAGACACGGCCCGTAGGTCGACTGCGCCCGCGTTTAGTGTAAAAATAAAACCGTGTTTTCGGATAAGCTGGCCAAACGTACGATCTAAACGGTACAGCGATGTTTTAAAAAAAACTCCCGCACTTATAAGCTACCCCCAAACGGACCTATAATTTCTTCAAAGACTTAATCAAGTTGCTCTTTAAAATTTGTTATCTATGTTCAGAAGTTCAATATTTTATACCGTCTTCCAATCTTACTTGACCATTATCATTTTTGAACCTTTTTAGAGCAACTAGTCATCTTGGCAGGCCACTCCTTTCATAAAAATATTTGTCTTTACGAGGCTAACTATCTCCAAACTTATCACCAAGAGAAACTTTTGTTGCTCCTAATATGAACTTGGATACAAAAAGATAGTATGATTCTAGGGTTTAACTTTTTATTCATAAGCTGTTGATCTTTAACATGATGTTTAGTTCATTCATTTTTAGAAAAAAATCCTTAGTATTTTACTTTGAGTGATAAATCTTATATTTGAGTAAGTTGATCAATGATTAAAATGCAAAAGATAAAAAAATAATCGAACAATTTTTAAGCATGTAATGTAATACAATTTACTTTAGTTTACAAAATTTATCTTTTTAGCCTTGAATAAAACTCATGCTTTAAATTCAAGTATAAAATGCAACTTCGTTTAGTGTAGATTGTTCATCGACTTCAAGGCTTTATCTCCACTAGAGGAGTAGTATCATAACTTCTAAGCTTGACTTTTAAAACAAAGATCACTCAAATCCCAATTTAAACTAGTCTAACTTTTACATAGCTAGACATACATTTTACTTTAGTAAATAATGTTTTTCCATTGCAATTGAAATCATCCGTATGTTTTATCTTTACTTTAAATATAATTGACTTCAAGTAGAATAGCCGATTCTTAACTTATATTTAATTTTACAAAAGGGTCCCAAGTTCTAAATAAAGCAATTTAAGCAATTTAACAAGATCATCTTATCTCTTGGAAATTTTAATTAAGCGGTAAAATGGTTCAATTACTTGCAGACTCACTTGAATTTGGTTCATCATAATAACAAGACTTAATTAATAGATCATGTACCATCGAAAAATTTCTAAATTGCCTTTTATCGGCACTTGTCAATTGTTCACATTGGTCCTAATCTTAAAAAGTGTCTTCCCACCTCATTACTCTTTCTCTTTTCTTATCACCATGTAAAAATTATACATTACTCTAGTGATTTTATTGTCCAAAATCGTTCTCCTTTATTTGTGTAGAACTATTACATTCTAGTAATTGTTGGTGCATTATTTTCTAAAATCATTATTTCCCAGGCAATATTAAGTATACATAATCACCTATATTAAATAAAGTTTCAAATAATATATTATGTTAACTCAATAAAAAAGATTATTGAACTATTATTTAAATATCCTATAGTAATGACGAAAAAAACTAACGGATCAACTAACATCAAAAGACTTGTAAATTTCCTTTTATTGGCACTTATCAATTGTTTGCATAGGACCTCATTTTAAGAAGCGTCTTCCGACCCTATCATTCTGTCTTTTCTTATCACCATGTATAAATTATACATTAATCTAGTGATTTTATTATCCAAAATTATTAGCTCCTTTATTTGTGAAGAACTATTTGATTCTAGTAATTATTGGGTGCATTATTTTCCAAAACCATTTATTATATGCTCATATAATAAAGTTTAATAGTCAAAATTTGATGTTGTCAGTTATTTGAAACCCAAATAGTGACTATAAACTCGAACCAATGTCTCAAAATGGTTCCCATAATTCAGCTAATAACCATGCCACAATCACAAACTCATAAGAAAAACAATAAATAATCAGGTGCAAATATTGTTCAACATAATGATTATCAAACTTATATTATTTGCTCAACTATGAGTTTCTTAAGAGACCAGCACTATAAAGAATAAATAATAAGGAAACTAAATATACATGCATAATACAATGTAATAGAGTTACAGTTGACTAAATTCTCGTTTTAAAATCATCAAGTTCAGTAAATTTCCATTTTATTTGTTTCTTATTCTTACTATAATGGAAAAAGAGTGAAAAAAGTCTAAAATTCAAGTCCACCTATAGCATCATAACTCCTACAAATCACACATGGTCATCAAATGATAATTTCAGTTCATGTCCGATCCAAGAGATAAGCATAAAGACCATTTATTTTTATTAAAATATTAACACCTTTAAAGTTCGTGTACTTCGAGATAGAAGGAAAAAAAAATAGTAGTCTATTCTTCTCAGAATGGCCTTAATACTGCCATTATCCAGTATTACATACTCATCAAATCACAAATTCAATTTTTGCATTCCTGGAATAGGCCGCACATCATGCAAATCTTCCAGTAGGCAATCAATAATCTATTAAATTCATGGATCAACACAAAAACCATCAGCTTTATCAAGTTCAATATAAACAATTTATCGGATGGAAACTGAAAGTCGAAGAACCAATTTTACTTAAGAAAATGCTCTACTCACCAGTGCTGTAGTGCATTTACGCTTTAGCTTAAACTCAGAGCCACTATACTTTACTTGAATTCCAAACTTCTGACTCAATAGTCAATGTTTTGGCGTCAGAGGACAAATTTACTCTTGTTTCCACCATATCCTACAAGAGCGAATCTACTCATGCTGTATAAGATTCAAACAAAAACAAAATGTGTAAGACTCAACATAGCATTTATGCATACATGCATACATACATATACATATACATATATACATAATTACTTATATGATTTTTCATGACATTAAAGTAACAAAAAGAGTTAGAACTAATAGCATTGGTTTTGATATGAAAGAAAAGGGTAAAACAACGAATGACTGAAACATTGTGAAACCTGCAAAAAGAGGAATTCCAATTCACACATTGTTTATATTGATAAATGATGATGAAAAACTACAAAGCTAAGAAAAGTATTTAGGATGCCTAAGCATAATAAGCACTGAAAGAACGTCTTAAATCTCCATCAAAGTCAAAAATTCTTCCCAGTTCCAAAAAGTCAAACTGAATGAGCATCTGATGGGACCGGCCAGATAAATAAGCAATCTTGATGTCCCTTATAACTGCCCGTAACGCTATCAAAATCTAAATTTTCAGAAACTGATATAACCCAAATCAAGCAAGAATGGATCCAAACAAAGCATGGGAACGAGATCAATCCACCACATGAAAACTCAAACAGCCCCAGCTTTACAGAGAAAAAAGCATGAATAATCCACCACATTAAAACAAGGATTGAGTTGATAACAGCGTCTAAGAGGTAGCAGAAATAGAAGAAAACCCGCATTATAAAATAACAGAGATTAGTGGGAGCAAGAAAACTCACTTCGAAAGACCTAAATTGGCAACAATCACCCTTCCCCGCAGTGAGAGAGAGAGAGGGAAGGAGATAGTGGGAGATATTATTTATGGCGAGAGAGGGAGAGGAGAGGGGTGAGGAAGAGATCTGAAGGCAAATCAACAGCAAGAAGGAAACGGAAGTACGGATCGAATAAATGAGTCATAAATAAAACGTATGCTAATGGAGGAAAATATCTGAAAGCCGAATTTATTAGTGCCTTCTGATATTTCACCCATTTACTGTATCGCTATTGGGGTAACTGTTAGATAAGTTAACGGTCATTTAAATTTCTAGCCTCAAACCAACGATCTAATTTGGAAACATAGCAATTTATTTGTTCACTTTAATCATGAAAAATGAGAAGGAACAGTTGAGATTAAACTATACGATTTATCCTCTAACTCTTAAAGATATCAAATGTAAATCTTTATATATTATCATTGTAATTTTCTGATTTTCTGATTTTCTGATTTTCTGATTTCTTTTTTATCGAAGCTTTCTTACCTATGCTGAGGAGTTGCTGAATAAGTCGGAAGCCTGCAACTAGATCTGCGCTTTTCTTCCATCTCATCTCTGTCTCATTCCATCTGTTTGATTTTGTTTTATTTTGTTTTTTTTTTTCTTTCCTTACAATTACAATGAGGATAACCTAATAAGACAAAAAGGGCTATAACCATAAATGCAATAATCAAGTAATATATTTTCTTTCATATAAAAATATAAAAAAATATTATATTAATGTATTTTCTACAAATGTGGCCCATGGGACATGCACTGCAATAATTTTTCAACACATCCACTTTGATGAGTATAGATCATATTCTCTTTGGTTTGAGGAATACCGCTTGTGAATTATCAAAGCTTATTATCCTGTCTGAGAGCACATACAACCCAGAGTTCGAAAGTGAGTGATTTGGTAATTATTATGCTTAGATTATTCTATAAGGAGATGGGGAATCTACATCACAAAAGAAAGAGATGGGACTTACGATTATTCGATCCAGACCTATACCACTTTTAGGTCACATAAAAATTACTACGGAATTTGCATCAGTTGTTTGCGTACGCAAACTTGCGTCGTCATTTGCTTCAACTTTTTCTATTGGAGAGGTTGCTAAGCATCATAATGTTTCGAATGTATTAGCGTTAGATAAAGCTGACGCAAACCTACAGCAAATTAAAAATAATATATTATATAACGATAAATTTTTTATAACCTGCACAACAAATATCATAATTGTTTGCTCATCACCAATTCAACACATAATATATTGCACAAACATGTTGCAATAATAAAAATAAATAGAAGTTAACAAACATTACACAAAATTTGTAAAAGTGTTTATCTAAAAATGGACTATATATATTAAACTCATCCTCATCCTCTCCCTCCTCTCCTTCACTCCTCATCGAGCGAACTTAAAGCCCTCTTGCTTCGGCGATCTACAATCTATTGTGCCAGTCATGCTATAGTGGTCTTGATTTTCTGTTATCCCTCATGTAGTTGACAAAGTTTTTCAGTCATAGTATTGACATGCTGGACAAATTCCTCATTCTTCAATGATGATGTTGTTCTCAGAACACTCTTACATGCTAGACAATTTTCTTACTTATATTGACACACTAAGAGAGGTCAAAAACCAACTGTTGTATTCTCGGGCACCGGTGTGTTTGAACATGTAACTTCACAATGATGGGTTGTCTGCCAAACTTTTGAGCCTATGGACATAAAAAAATAGTAAGTACACGATAATTGCATCAAAATTTTTTTGAGTATTTAGTGAATCTCACCAACTCTTGATTGTGCTCTATGTGCAAGACTGATCCTCCAATGTGGAGTATGGGGCCCTTGACTCCTTCAATACTCATGTTATGTTAGGTTGTTTCCCTTTTCCTTTGTAATCAAGAGATGCCCATGATATGACCAACTGCACTTAAACCTCCCCCCCAACCCAAGCAGGTCGGTTCCCTTTCCTACGGGCTATCGTGAACATATCACCTGTCGATGTCTGTCGCGAACCTCAAAATATGTCGAATTTGCTGGTGATGCTCAGACAGTCAGTGGAAGGACCTTTATGAATTAAAAGTCATGTAATTTATTGGTATATAAAATAATTTGAAATTATAATTCTAATTTAAATTAACTGATTCTACCTCGAACTCCCTAAATCACATGTCACAAAGCACTACCGAGATCTTCATCTGAGAGGGATATGGAGAATCATATCCAATCCTAATGATCTCCGTGATACACATGATGAGTTGTGTGGAGGGATAGAACTTGAAATAGAAATATTAGCAATATATATCGAAAGATCATTCAACTTCTTAAAATACAAAAAGTAACTTACGAGTCTCCCTCTAGCTCAATATACATCTGGTCATAGGTGTCATTCATCAAAGTGGAAGGAGTAGAAAGGTCCGACTTATCTTAGAAGGGAGGTGGTCCTTGAGTGGGAGGTGTTGGATGAGTACTCAGAACAGAAGGTGTGAGAGGGGTCGTAGTAGTAGCAGCAGGTTGTCGGAAAGGAGTACAAACCTGATCGGAGAAGTGATAGAAGGAGAAAGAGGGGATGTAGGGGTTATGGTTTTATTGATTAACACAACACTGGTGTTGTGTGAGGTAGAGGGGACAAATAAGTTCTTCATCTTCTGTAAGTACTAGGGCTTAGACCAAAAGTTAGTGAGGTGGTTAATCTCTATAACAGCATGAAGCCATATGTAACAGGAAGAAAGAATTAATAAAATTATTGCTGAACAATAAAAGTAGACATAACAAAAGTAAGCATGAGAAGTATAATGTTATCAAAATTATTACAACAAGACAATTAATGCAATCAAAACTGAAAAACAAAAAGTTTCATTGCAAAAATAATGTTTACGTATTATTAGTAGTTAGCATGAATTCGTTTATACTTTAATTTGATCTCAATTTTTAAACATGTCACCTTTAGTCTGAAGAAAAAAATTTAGTCGTTAGTTATGTAATACATAAAAATTGTTCAATTTGTATATAAAAATTGGAAGTTTTTATATATTACATATTTAGTACATTTCACTTCAATTTTTACAAACAAATCACACAATTCTTATGTATTACATATCTAAAACAAAAAAAAATTATTTTTTACAAACATTTCACACAATTCTTATGTATTACATATCTAACACATAATCTTCATCTTCTCATGAACAATCCACACAATTCTTATGCAATACATATCTAACACCTAAACTTCAATTTTTTACATACAAACCACACAATTCTTGTGCATTATATTTCTAACTCATAAACCTCAATTATTATAACCATTTTGGCACTCAGGTTGCCCATCTCGAGATAGGCACCAATGTGGCGATCAGCCAATTTGTCAGTTGGGATGGTTGATCCCATCTACTCTGACCTTGACTAGCTAAAAAAAATCTTTGACGCTCCTTCAAATTCATAGCACAGAGAGGGGTTTGAGGGTGATAATGTGGTGCATGACAGATTGTCCAACTCTCAGCCTTAAGACTTCTAGACTTAAGATTTTGTCTTCTTTTTTTTATAGGTAACTGAACTAATGCATATTGTTGACCTCACTTTTGGTTGAGGTTTAGTTTTCCTCTTTAGTAGCATAAGGTCTAGCCATGGGACTTCCTGTTGACTGTTCCTAGAAAACTAGAAAAGAAAATCTCACCATTAGAAATTCTAAAATCCCCTTTACTCAACTTGAAGTTCCAGATAGTGGTCTTAACCACTAGCACTTAGTAGGTGGGGTCATTATTAGGGAGCTCAAGGAGAGTTCCCATATGATTGTTGGACCTTAGGGTTGACCCTGGGTGTTGGTCTAGAGCTAAGGCACTCACCAGCAATCACCTCACTCACAATCACTCACAAATACAAACCCAAAATTTCTTGACCTTGATCCCTTAATCTTTGGGATATTCAAGTAGATGGTCTCCTAAACCCACTGGCCCTAGGCTTTTGGCTAAGACCAGTACATTGAGGACTCAAATGGGGTTTCCATTGGTCCATGACTTATTTATGGTGGTTGACACCCCAACTCTACCAAAATACCCAACTTAGCCTTTTGTCCCTAAACCCACAAATTACCCAAGTACCCTTGGGACCCTAAATTTGGTCAAAATTACCCAAAATACACAAATTTGTTCAAATTCATTTCAAACCTTTTGAAAACACCCAAATTACCCAAAATCACCAAAACATTACCAAATTACCAAAATACCCCTCCTTAGCCCAAAATTCCAAAAACTCCAAAAAATCCCAAAAAATCCCAAAATACTCCAAATATTCCCAATTTCACTTTTCTCAACTACCACATAATCTAATTTGGCCAATTTGACCACCTTTGACCAAAATGCCTAAATTTCCCTTAAGGGGCCAAATCTCCCCCAATCCACCTCAAATGTCCATAAAAATGGCCTTAATTTCCCCCAATTTCAATCCTAAACTCAAATTAACCTTTAATATGACAAATCTAAACCAAATTAAAGCTCAATTTTCCCATTCTTTGAGCTCAATTTTGATCCAAATCAAAAGCCCCAATTTTGGCCACATGACCTAATCTCACCCAATTAAACTCATAACCCACTCAATTTGCCACAATTTATGTTGAAAACTCTTCATAAAATTCTTAAAAATCAAAATTTACCTTCAATTGGCCTCTTTGAAGCCTCAATTTCATTTAATTTTGACTTAAGTCCAAAAGCCCCAAATTTTATCTAATTGATTTCCTTAAACCCAAAATTGGCACCCAATTTATGTTGAAAACTCTTTATAAAGCACCTATTAACCATATTCAACAATCAATTTGGACTTAGCCCATGGCTAGCCCTATCTAGACCCAAGTCTAGCCCAACATGCCCAAATTGACCAAATTCCAAAAATCCTCCAAATTGACCCTCCAATTCAACTCAAAATCCTTTCAATCCTTCACCAAAAATGTTCATTACAATCATCTACATCAAATGAAATAATTAATTGGGTTAATTGATATGGCTAGCCTAACCAAAACCCATGTTTTGGTCATTTGAACTCACATTGGACCCATGCATTAAAATTAGCCTAACCACCCCAAAGTAACCAAATTAATGACCCCATAGCCATTAGTTGGGCCCTAGTGACTAAGCTAAACCCCATAAAACCACCTTAGCTAAGCCATG